CATTCCCAGGGACCATGTGAGGTAGACAGAAGGAGCTGAGGCAACGATACAGGAGTGTGTGTGTGAGTGTGTGTGTGTGTGTGTGTGTGTGTGTGTGTAGGGGGGAGATGGAGACATCTTCCAGGCCCAGATGTGGCCTCTCTGGTGTCAAGAGCCACACCCACACCTCTGTGTGATCTCATTTTATCCTCTGGCAATAAGAGGAAGGAGTGGTCAGATTATATAAAGAAGTTCAAGGGACATCAGGCAAGTCCAAAGAATGAAGGAGGGAGAAAAGAAAAACTGGAGGACTGCCTTCTAAAGCACAGAGGTGGTTTGAAAATGCTAAGGAGACATTCTGCGGGTTAGGATGGTAAACTGTTAGACATGCTCTGAGGCCCAGAAATCCTCAAATTTTGATCTTAGGACATTTTTATAATCTAAAAAAATTATTTAGAAAGATGCTGTCCAGGAATATTTATGTGGATTATAGGTAATAATAGTTGTAACAACCCAGAATAATTAATATATTTATGAATAGTCTAAAATCCATGATATATTAAGTTGTTTCATGTTTACATAAATATCTTCACAAAATAACTCTATTTTCATAAGTATTGTGCTAAGTCATTATTATATTTGTTTGCACAAATTTTGTTTCACAGAAGACAAATGGGTCCTGATATCTGCTTCAGCATTCAGGATCATGATATGTTGCCTTGGTCAAAGTATTTGGAATGAAATCTGACCTCAGATATGTAAAAGCAGGGTGTATGTTAATCACTTTTTAGATAATTATAGATATTTTTCTCAGAAACTACCTCAAAATTTATTTCTCTCCTTCTCCCTCCCCACCCACGTCTTCAGCATATATATGTCCCTGTAGTTGGGACAGTAGCTAGTATTGATCCCAGGGCCGTAGAAATGCTAGCTAGCCAAATGCTCTATCACTGTGTGTGGGTTACACCCACAGCTAACACATGGCATTTTCTTAAAGGCTAGAAGTAACGTGGAATATGGAGACTCATCTATAAAGCAGTTGTATTCTCTTACTTCACAATGCTTGCTCTGCCCTGCTTCTTGAAAGGGTGACTTACCCATGCATGATTTGTAGCACTTTATATCTGGTCACCTGAAAAATGCAAGCTTGCTGAGTTCTGCAGCCTTGCTACATGTACAGTAAGGAACCCCACCACACACTCTGGAGAATGACAAGAAACTGTGCTGACTTCCCAGACAAGCTGGGAAGGTCTTGGGACCTCTAAGGATGTCATATAATACTTTGAGAATCACTGTTGTGCAGAAATGTCATATGTCCCAAACTGGAAAATTGGCCTTCTGGGAGCCAGCTCTGATGTCACCTTTCATTAGCTTGGCCATAAGCCTGGACTTCTCTGGGCCTTCTCAGCCAAGATGCATGATTCACTATTTTTTTTAAATGATATATCTTTATTTTATATGCATTTGTAGTTTGCCTACATGTGTGTCTGTATAAGGGTGTCAGATACCCTGGATCTGGAATTACAGTCATGAGCTGCCATGTGAATGTTGGGAATTGAACCCGGGTCCTCTGGAAGAGTATCCAGTGCTCTTAACCGCTGAGCCACCTCTCCAGCCTGACTCAGTATTTCTCAGCCTTTCTTCATGACTTCCCTGGTTATGCCTTTCACTGCTTCTGCTATGGTAGATTCTTCTTCATCCCAGTGTTCAGCTGGTACCTATCAGTAACACTTCCAGGAGGCCTGGCCACCATCCACCTCTTCTCCAAGATGCGCATGTTCCCTCCCAACCAAATGTGGATATCTTTGTTTGTTGTGGGAATCTTGTCACCTTGCCCAGAGTTAAAATGACCAGAGTGATTGCTTGGTGCCAACAGGTCTGCCCCACTGCACGTCACGAACTAAACCGTGAGACACCAAAAAGTAAACCACTGATCCTGTTCATGTTTGCGTCTCCTTCTGTCACCCTGCCTGATACAAAGTAGGTTCTCTGTGAAAATGGGATTAATTGGTTTGCGTGTACCAGGAGGCTCTATGTGTAAGACAGAATGGATATTTATGGCAGAAGAGGGTGGGCAGAGGTGACTGGGAGGTGAGAGGAGAAGAGTGGCAGACATGAAAATAATGAGAAGACTGATGGGGACGGAGGGGAGCGGTCAGGGCGTGCGCGTACAGCCCACAGACTGAGATAGAGACATGCAGTGGGATGGAGCAGGGCATCTTAGGTGGACAGAAAGGATGAGGAGGAGTAAGACATTCACAGACAGTTGGAATGAGAATCTAAGCTATTGATGGCTGGGGGGGCTGAGCCTTGGGGGCATTGAAATGGTTATTTACATCAGCAAGGTGCACACATGGAGTGGCTGATTTCCACATAGTCATGTGCTGATTGTACCCTCAGCCAAAGATGCTGTGGTCACTGGTGGTGTGGTGGGCAGTTTTCCAAGAATCCCCTTCCCAGGTACCTAGGAAGCCTTGTCAGTTCTCATACAACTGAGAAGGAGCTGGTCCACAGGAGGCCCGAATGGGAAAGAGCAAGACACTCCAAGCCTCGGCCTTTTTCTCTTCAAATATTTGCAGAGAGCGAACGTGGCAGGAGCCTGGGGAATGCGGTGCTTATTGCTCACAGTACATTAAAATTCAGATTGGCTGGCACAATATCCCCAGCATAACCGCTCTGCACTGATATTTTTATAACTCTTAATATCAAACAAATTGCCTCTTCACAGAGACAGTTTAATATGACGGGGACCATGCCCGCCAGCTTCCTCATGCTGGCCCCATAAAGATCACCGTTCTATTACTGGGGACAGAGAAGCCATGAATTTCCTATCAAAAATATGACTAGATTATGCAGAGTAAATCTTGGACCATATTAAAAAAATCATAGTGTTTTAATTTTTCTCTCCCCCTCCCCCTGATGCCTGCCAACACATCTTTTCTTACTAAGAAAATGAACGAAGGAGTTGGTAGGCTGAATCAGCCATGGCTTGCTTGTTTGCTTGCTTCCTTCCTTCCTTCCTTCCTTCCTTCCTTCCTTCCTTCCTTCCTTCCTCCTTCCTTCCTTCCTTCCTTCTCCTTCCTTCCTTCCTTCCTTCC